AACGGGCTGGTGACAAGTATTTCCGTATGGCGTACACATGTAACTCTATCCTCATTGCTATGCGCACCATCTCTTGCTACAGTTTCCGCCAGCGATAAATTAAAAGCCATTTACAGACCAGTAGAGACTTTGTCCACCAGCCACATACAACGACTATCTATAAACATAATAAAAGAAGCGCGCCGATCTCGATCCTCAATCACTTGCCTCGATGACAGCGGCGTTATGCGTCGTGAGCGGCACACCACCAGTATTTTGGTACAATATTGTGTAAGGCATGGATAGCTAATACTCATAGTGGAATACGGAGATACAGCCTGAAAAAACTCAGACGAGAAAATGATACCTATGATGGCACTACGGTAAGCAAAATTGGTGGGAAGAGAACAAAAATGACGGGTGCAGTGGATACAATACAGAGAAACGCTTCTTGTACAAGATGGATGATTTTTGTTTGGGAGTGACGCATTTTTAATTCAAGGCGCGAGGAACTACACATAGAACCCAAAACGTCCGAAGGTGAAGACAAGAAAACACGAGCAAAAAATGGCTGCAGCGCAAACGAGAAGGGGGAGAAACCAGACTATAGAAAGACTGATATGAGTGCTCCGGCGTCATTAGTAGGAACATTGAAACATACCGAAATGAAGCCGGGACAGCGACAGAGTTTTCTTCTTATAAATTGCCTATTCAGCGTCCTGCACAAGTATCGAGATAGTCGCCACATCCGCCGGAAGATTCGGATACAGGGAGGGTGCGCTGCTCCTCCGTAATGACGCGGTCCAACCATCTACGCCACTCACAGGACCGTTCGAGAATGAGGTGCAGACGCCCCGCACGAACAAGTTCATGTAGACGCGGATGCTCCATCGCTTGGCTTGCGAACACCGACTGAGGCAGCGCCGAGAGCTCAGCCGCGGCGGCTTGAAAAGCCTCCCAAGCTGCGCACGAAACGTCCAAACTCGACTTGAATGCGACACCATCACAAGTGGAATAGGGCTTTTGTATTTGCATCGTTGTGGGACTGGATACCGTAGGTATGGCGTCTGGCATGTCTGTGCCATCGAGCAGTTCGATACGCTCTAGAACTGGGTTCTTTGCGACGTCAAGCAGAAATGTGTTCAGTAGTGTAGGCCTGCGGGCGCGGACAACTCTGAGATGAGGTGAGGACGCGAGTGCAGTTGCTAGCGGATCACGGCCGTTGCTAATAGGCAGTGGGAGCGGTGTCGGTTTATACCGAAAATCTACTTGTTCCTGTGCAAGCATAAGAAAAGACGCCTCGCAGAACCGAGAGTAACACACCGACCAAACTGGTCCATTTCCGTACGCCCGTAGCGAGCGCGTGAACAAAGGAGGCCATCGCATTGGAAGAAAGATATCCGCTCTGCCGGATGATGAGCCGCCGTACGTCCGGCGTGTGGCGTATCGCGGCGCAAAGCCGCTCAAGGTCCGCTTTTCCCGAGAGCCAGTCCGTGCGATCGTCCACGAGCTTGACGTCCAGGATCTCGAGAGGACGGCCTGAATGAAGATCCGTCAGGAGTTGTGCAGCGACGCTGAGCGCTCCACTGGCCGACGGCCCGTCTACACGGACGGCGCGTATGTACACGCCGAACTGAGGCTGTGCGGTGAGCGTCGTGGCGAGCTTAGCAGCCTGTTCGCGCGTCCGCAGATACAGAGTTGTATAGACAAGAGGCTTGGCTATCCGCTCAAAAATCTTACAAACAAGTAGCAAAGACGTCGGGTTTTTGTTGCTAGAAAATGATGTTTGCGTGTCGACAAAAAAAGTAGTAAGAGAGCAGCTTTGGAGGACAAGTGAGATGATGCGTTCAAGAATCTCTTCCGGGATCGATAATACATTCGACAAAGCGTCGGCCTTTGGAAAAGAGAGCAACATTGCTGCACGACTCAGGAGCTGGCCTGCAATCCAGCTGGCGTCATGAAAGATGTGGAGAGAACTTCGATGAGAAGGCGCCGCGTGTCAGCATGCCAGTGCGCGCCGCCTTCAGCCCGCATCGCAATGACCGGAAAGGCCGGTGCCTATTGAAATATCACTTTACTACCTTTCAAAGTTGGCGCCATCAAAATGCCAAAGTTCGGAAATGAAGGAGCACGAAGAGATCATGAGAGTGTTTAGCAATGAAGCGCTCCTGCAAGATAGTTTGCGTTTTGACAGATGAGTTTCCAAAAATATCCTTGATTTGAGCTAATTTCAATTGTATTGGGACGTCACGTGGTTGATATGCCCATGCAATGCTTTCAAACAATTCTCATATCATATTTCCATTTTCAGAAATACAGTGGCTCACGTAAGTATTGCACAGCCACCTGATTTTTTTCTTTCCACCTATTGCTCGCAGACCACATCATGTTTTGCACTACTTCCTCTTGTAAGCTGAAGCATACCATATCAGGATTTTCCATGTATAATTTGAAGTAAATTGGTCAAGTGGTTATTGAAAGAAAAATCATACTTGTCAAAAGTGGCTGTGCAATACTTATGTAAGTGGCTCAAAACTCGACCTTGTTGACTGTCTCAAAAAACAACAAACAGTTGCTTTTCTCTGAAACTTGGAATATATTATGTACACCCTCAGACTTATCCATTTCACCAGCTAGTTCAAAACAATATGATGTGTGGTCTTTCCAGAAAGTCTTACTTGGTCAGGGGTATGGCGTGAGGGATCCTGTCTACACTGTGACTCTAAATCTGATTAGAGTGACACCAAAATTGACAAGCCATCTCCAATATACAGCAGAAGAATGTATACATATGTTTTGTTGTGTATCTCAGCTTTGTTCTCAAATTATTCTGACTTTTTTCTCAGAAGATCCTGATCTTGGCACAAGATTTCGATTTCGCCAGCTTTTCTTGTGAGAAACGATACAGATAATTTTACTTCAGCTTGCTTCTGGGGTAGCCCTGAAACTATATCAATAATAGACCATAGGTAGAAGCTCAGCAGCTTTGTCAATCTTACTCAGGAAGGCAGTGCATTCGACTCGTTCGCCTTCAATTAGGGCATAGCACGGGTCGATCCCTGGGTATTAGCGTTTTGCTAATAACACAACGAGTTCGGCTTCGATTCGAGTGATCTTACATGCGTTATGTGCGCACTGTTAACGTCTACAGCATACAAAAGCACGCATTTAAATTGGTACATTATTGACAGCGCTAAAGGCAAACGGGTCATCAATACCCGTCAATGCGGGTATTGATGACCCGTTTGCCTCTAGCGCTGTCAATAATGTATTAATCGAAACAAATATTTTTGAATTCTGTAGCAGTTAACAGTGCGCACATAACACATGTAAGATCACTCGAATCGAAGCCGAACTCGTTGTGTTATTAGCAAAATGCTAATACCCAGGGATCGACCCGTGCTATGCCCTACCTTCAATACTTACTACTGTAAGCTAGTCTTGAAGACTAGTCATTGATGACATCTAAGGAGCTAAAATCAAATCAGAATTAACAAATGGACCTTGTAGAGTAACACAATGCACATTTTCAATGAAAAAGTCATTCTCAATTGAAAAGACATTTTCAGTGATTCAGTAGTAAGTATTGAAGGCTAACGAGTCGAATGCACTGCCTTCCTGAGTAAGATTGACAAAGCTGCTGAGCTTCTACCTATGGTCTATTATTGATATAGTTTCAGGGCTACCCCAGAAGCAAGCTGAAGTAAAATTATCTGTATCGTTTCTCACAAGAAAAGCTGGCGAAATCGAAATCTTGTGCCAAGATCAGGATCTTCTGAGAAAAAAGTCAGAATAATTTGAGAACAAAGCTGAGATACACAACAAAACATATGTATACATTCTTCTGCTGTATATTGGAGATGGCTTGTCAATTTTGGTGTCACTCTAATCAGATTTAGAGTCACAGTGTAGACAGGATCCCTCACGCCATACCCCTGACCAAGTAAGACTTTCTGGAAAGACCACACATCATATTGTTTTGAACTAGCTGGTGAAATGGATAAGTCTGAGGGTGTACATAATATATTCCAAGTTTCAGAGAAAAGCAACTGTTTGTTGTTTTTTGAGACAGTCAACAAGGTCGAGTTTTGAGCCACTTACATAAGTATTGCACAGCCACTTTTGACAAGTATGATTTTTCTTTCAATAACCACTTGACCAATTTACTTCAAATTATACATGGAAAATCCTGATATGGTATGCTTCAGCTTACAAGAGGAAGTAGTGCAAAACATGATGTGGTCTGCGAGCAATAGGTTAGGGCATAGCACGGGTCGATCCCTGGGTATTAGCATTTTGCTAATAACACAACGAGTTCGGCTTCGATTCGAGTGATCTTACATGTGTTATGTGCGCACTGTTAACTGCTACAGAATTCAAAAATATTTGTTTCGATTAATACATTATTGACAGCGCTAGAGGCAAACGGGTCATCAATACCCGCATTGACGGGTATTGATGACCCGTTTGCCTTTAGCGCTGTCAATAATGTACCAATTTAAATGCGTGCTTTTGTATGCTGTAGACGTTAACAGTGCGCACATAACGCATGTAAGATCACTCGAATCGAAGCCGAACTCGTTGTGTTATTAGCAAAACGCTAATACCCAGGGATCGACCCGTGCTATGCCCTACAATAGGTGGAAAGAAAAAAATCAGGTGGCTGTGCAATACTTACGTGAGCCACTGTAGTATTCAAATTTAAAATATCAACTTCTTTGGCCTCAGAGCTTTGAAAAACATGTTGCTCACTCAATTCTTCACATTTTCCTTTCATTCAAGTTGTGAAATAATTCTGTATAATGAACCAAGTAGCTCATGTATTTAAAAAATGAACCTTGTAGAGTGCTTGATCCAATCTCTGAAATCAAGCAATGTATACATGCTCTCAGAAGTTGTCAGAACACCTTCAATTTCTGCAATTTTAGTAAGCTTGAACCTATTGATATGTATATACACCTTTTCATCACAACCTGTCCCATAAATAACTGATATCCTTTATCCCAAACTTTAACTTCAAGGCCTTTATAGCTCAGTGGTAGAGCGCGCCACTCGTATGTTAGAGATAATGGTGAGGTCGGTTGTTCAATCCAGCCTGGAGGCAATAACTTGAGAAGGTATTCTTTTTGATGAAGGAGAGTCCGGAGAGTGCTTTTTGATAAGTAATACTGTCTGATTTGGCCAATAAGTTCAAGTTGCTAAAGTGAAAATCACTGGTAGGTTGTTATGTTATTCAGGGCATTTTATTTTTGTATAAGTAAACTTATGTTTGAAGCTTCTATTTTGATGTTTGAAGAAAATAATGCCACTGCTCTCCGAAAACTGTTCTTCAATTTCATTTTACCGCTCGGCGTGTGATTACTAGGAAGCCATTTATCGCACTGCTCTAAGCACTGCTGGAAGCGTGGAGTCCAGTGTCCGCTCTGGCCTGGATCACTGAAAATCAAAGACACCACGCATCGCGATGCGTGACGTTACGTAACGCGTTTCCTTGATGCGCGTCTTGCTTAGAGGACACGCGGTTCCCGCCGTGCCAATACAAAGGAGAAATGGACTTTTAGGCACATAAAGACCTTCGTGTCCACATGATTATAATCGAGGAAACATGCGCTTCTCATTCTACCGTGTTCCTTTTGTCTGCACGTACATGTACAGATTCCTGATGTAAAACAAAACATTTGTTTTCCAGAAAAATCGTTAATACGGGCAAGTACACCAAGGGACGTCTGACCCCGGCGAGGCCACACACACGTGTAGGGCTAGCGCCCCATTGAACGGGATGCCGTTTCTGGACTGCCTTTATGTTACTGCTAAGGCCTAATCACCAGGGCGGTGCACGAAGCCACGGAAGGCCACCATTCCACCACTTAGACTTTCAGCCACATAAAAAGAAAGAAAGAGACGCGCTCCCTCCTCTCTCTCAGCACCCATCAGCACCCGCCTCTCTGCAGTTTGCCTCCGCACCCGCTCCCAGCTAGCCATCCTCTGCACCATTCTTCGCTCCTCCAAACCACTCACAATGCCGGGCTTGTACGGATTCCCTACCCTCGACACGTACGCGTTCATGAATACGAAGGCATCAACGAGCTTCAACTTCAGCCCGTTCGACTTCGAGCGAGAGTTTGGCTTTAATTTCTCAACCAAGCCTCAACGTGCGCTCAAGCCTCACGCACAAAGTATGAAGCTGCACGAGCCCCGCCCCACACATCCACATGTGTTCCGCAATGCTCTCAAGCATTTCGAGGAGGTGCGCATTTCCATTCCATCATTCTCCGCCTTGCTGACCATTCGATCCTTCCTTCGCCCAGATCGCGCCCTTCTGGAAGGACGTGCATAACCGCGTCACCTCGCCTGCTGCGGTAGAATCCAGGTTCACGGCAGCGAAGCCACGTCCCGCACATCCAGACGCGCTCGCGCCAAACGACCACTGCAACTTGCTTTCTTCGGAACGCGCCATCGGCGCGCCAATCCGCACTCGCTCTCCGGTTTTTACTCGCCCCGCTCCGATCGATCCTCTCGCCCCTGCTCCATCCGTATCCACATCGTCCGGCCTTGCCTGTCTCTCCCCTGGCTTCTTCGACCGTTTCGACCGCGACAACACCAAGGGGCGTAACTGGGCGCGCGCACCTAGCCCATCTAGTCTTCCACCTCCTTCTTTCGACCACTTCGCCGGTCAACGTTCCCGCCCCGCCGTCTTCTTCCGACCCTCGTCCCCGCCTCAGACCGTCGCGCATGACACTGATGCCGCCAACGTTACCCGCACCTGGCACAGCACACATCCGACAAATGAGCCATCGGCCTCGATTCCGAGCATAATTCCATCAATCGCATCACAATACACCGGCGATGGTATCGAGGACGAAGAAACAGAGCCCTTGGTGGCAGAGGCAGATGAAGACGCGCTCACCTATTTCTCCGAAGACGAGGTCGATATTCTGGAGGACAGTCTCAACTTCGTGGACGGCGATGACTTCGAGGATGATGATGACGACGACACCTTTTACACTGCATCCGAATGTTCTGGTTACTCCGCTGATTCTGAATCGAACTGGAGTGATGACGATAATGAGGTGGCTTCCGACGGGGACGACGAGTTTTCCGTCAGTAGCCAGCGCGCCTACGCATCGACATCGCCAAGCAGCCAGGACGCGCATGCATCGATGCCGGATCCTTTGGTCCCTACCTACGCGACGTCTCCAGCGGTCTCGTTCTTGTCCATCTCCTCCACTGGCTCGTCTATGTCCACTTCGGCGTCGCTCGCAGTGCCATCGACACCGAGATCGCCGCAGATGCCGCTGCGCTGGACTGTGGGCATGCCCGGCGATGCAGTGCAGTTTCTTCTCGCCGCAGAGAGACAGACGTCCGCGGAGGAGGCTCAGCGCCACAAAGGCGACTAGATCGCATGAACAATAAGGAGGGAGCTGGAGATGATGAGAATTGCTTAAGGGGGGCGGTGCGCCTTGTTTTCGTTCGCTAGGCGATGCTTGGTATGCTGACAAGCGATCGATCTTCTAGTCGATACCCGATAGCCATTGGTGCTCCATCCGTCTTGCTTTGTTTTTTGTCCGCCACTATTCGATTTTCCGCCGCGCTGCGACGCTGCTCCGCCCAGCGCGTGCCCGAGCACCGTGCTTCAGAGTTCTCCGAGTAGACCGAGCTCTCCAGATCCCCGAACAGTGCAAGAGCACCGTGGCCTGGCTCTTCGCGAACTGAGGCCTCAGCCCGAAACTCGAGTGAAATGAAGGCCCAGAGGAGCGACTGGTCACCGGTTGCACAACCCCAAAATCCTTCGTCCCTGCATCATTTCATCCCTACATATTCACAGTACCTGCGCATAGTTGTCCGGCTTCTTCGTTGATATTCTTCCCTATCTTTCCGTTTCTGTCAGTCTCATCTCAATCTTCTGTTTCCCGTCTTCTCTAAACTCGTCGATTCACCCATCTTCATTTATTAACTTCGCATCTTCGGCTTCGCTTCGTACAACCTTGTTTCTGTTAATCTGCAAGTTAATCGTTTTGTATATAGTGCATGTCTTATATTTTTGTACGCTTACCTTGGACAATCGCCATCTCGAACATAAAATAGTTCCGATCTTGCGAGCCTGCTCGAAGGTAGAGCTCTTGAGTCAATATACATAACGGCATTCACGCTCATAAGTTGAATTCTGAAAGTAAAGTCCCCGAATGTCAGGATGTCGCGTGAGTAATCTCATCAGGAACATTGATATTCCAGACATACCGAGCTCGTCGCATGCAGAGCTCAGAAATCCGCCGCCTCCTGCAAGTCCTCTGCATCTTAAGTACATGAACAGCACGTTATCAGTGTAGTTCAAGCGTCACAAAGGTGCAAAGAGCGCAAGAACGCTTGCCTCTCTTCGGCTCAACCTTCCGAAAACCGCACTCGGGTGAACAGACTGTAAATTGTATTGGTCAAATGAGCGGGAGCGAAGAGATTGAAACAAACCTACCGAGACTCGCAGGAATCAAACTCGTAACACCAGTCATGGCACCTGCTGTCTGCCTTAGAGACAGATCTGAGAACGGAGAGATGGCGTACTTTGAAACAGATTAAAGACAGATTAGGTGGTAAGCAGTAGGGATCTGACATCGGAGATAACGATCAGGGGACTAGGCGTTACTCAAAGCTATGACAGTTAAATCAAGACACCAATGGTACTGAGCGCGAGTGTCTGGTACTTACCTTTTTAAAGAGCAAGGTCGCCTTTTTTCGCATGGCTCGGGCGAGGACGTCCGCAGGACCTTTCTGAAAAGGACTTAGTTTCGAACATCATCGTTGCGTTCCATAGTTGCTTTCTGTGTTCATCCAGACTCGTCAATTCAACATAAAATCCTGGAAAATAGATGCTACTCACTCGGAGCAATCTGTGTACGTACTTTTGCAGTGTCAAGAGGCTGCCCGACTGGTACGTGCGTATTACAATGCGCAACCAAATTCGGTCTCCTAAAAAGCAGAGAAATAAGATGGATACACACCGATGCTTCCGGCGAAGAATTCGTGCATGGTGCTAGGATGCAGTCTCGTTCACCCATCGTTTCCTGCCAGAGTATTGTCCTGATAAACCGAAGAGTTGTCATGTTGTCGTTGATCCCTCGCCGACATCGACAAATCAAAAAACAGTTAAGAACGTCGAGAACGGACGCATCGAGCAAGAGACAAGAGAGACACGAATATCGGCAATTCGTGGGCCATTCTGGCCGAGTTGCCGATCTGTGATCGACGTCTAGCCGATCGCGCTCCCGACTCATGCGAGAGCGCGCCGCCCGGGCGCCACTCACTCTCTTCTTCCCCAACGTACGAAGACGCATGCTTTTCAATACATTCTGAAATTCTCCTGGACGAGAAGGACACAAGAAGCGCGTCAGGATTTCTAGTAGACAGTCGCATTGATCGTTGGTTTCCGCAACTATTATACAGTGTCTCACAAAAGTATTGCACGACCGGAGAAAATTCACAGAACATCACAAACTCAATGCTTTGCTTTAGTTTAAATTTGTAAATTAAGTTTAGTATCTCCTCTAAAGATGTCTATTAAGGACCAAATGAATATGATAAAAAATGCATCCGGTACAGCCAGATTACGAAAAAGGTCACTTTTCAGGTACCTCAAGGAACTTTACTTTCTTACAATAAAAATCAGATTAAAGTAGGTTGAGAAATTCTATAAAAGTTGCCTTTTGAATCACAAAATTCCGTTCAGTGGTTGCTGAGATATAAGCCTGGCAAAGTGCCATTTTAGCCTAGATTTGACAAAAAGTGCCCTAAAATGGCACTTTGCCAGGCTTATATCTCAGCAACCACTGAACGGAATTTTGTGATTCAAAAGGCAACTTTTATAGAATTTCTCAACCTATTTTAATCTAATTTTTATTGTAAGAAAATAAAGTTCCTTGAGGTACCTGAAAAATGACCTTTTTCGTAATCTGGCTGTACCGGATGCATTTTTTATCATATTCATTTGGTCCTTAATAGACATTTTTAGAGGAGATACTAAACTTAATTTACAAATTTAAACTAAAGCAAAGCATTGAGTTTGTGATGTTCTGTGAATTTTCTCCGGTCGTGCAATACTTTTGTGAGACACTG